TACTAGAGCAGTGAATCTCAACCTTTTGGTGTACCGGACCCCAGTCCAATTCAGAACCATCCTCAAGGACCCCCAGAACAAAATTGACTCATCTATGTATCCTTTGTGTCTTTGTGAGGACCAAATGCAGTCTAATGTATAATTCAAGTTAGGTGACTTGTCCAGTATTTGGCCATATCATCAGCTATATTGGATTTTTCTTTCATGGGAACATGTCATGTCAAAATATACAAAATGTATACAAAAATTCATACTTTATACGGACCCCCTGGCCTTATGTCAAGGACCACTAGGGGTCCATGGACCCCTGGTTGAGAAACACTGTACTAGAGGGCAGTCCATTCTTTTTTTGGCCATTGTATCATCATATTTAGAATAACCTGATGCCAAACTCATTAATGCCAGTATCTCAGTCCATAATGAATCTAATGCTAACACTTAAAGCATTCATTAATAATTCAGCCTATTTTCAGTAGGACTCTATGGCAGGAGACTTTCATTTTTCCCATTGCCCAGAAAATAAGTTTTTGATCCATCCCTGTTGGCCTCATCATGTAAAAGCTGACAGACTGAGACGGCATCCCAGCAGCCTTTGCGGTTAATTGAGTTAAGTCACCTGTGAAAGACTGTACAGATTGAGTCAATGAGCCAGGTGCTCCCCAGGTTGGGGCCCATATAATATAACCTATTGTGTTCTCGCTCACTCAGTCCATCTCTCTTTCTTTCCCGAGCTCCGTTTCTCCATTATTACATTAAGCTTGTTAATAAGAGCAACATTGCCACTGTCTAAATCAGTGTGACTGCAGCATGCTTGAATATTAAATTGCATTGAAAGGATAGGTAAATGTGAAAATTCAGTCATTATATACTTACTTTGTTGACAACCCATCTGAGTTATTTCTTCCAGAAAGAAGAATTGCGCTAGTTGCTATTTTCCCAATTAGTGTTGTCACGGTACCAAAATTTCAGTATTCGGTACCAATACCAGTGAAAATCCACGGTTCTCGGGTGCCAATTTCGGTACCAAAGCAAAACACAAAAACATGCTAATGAAAATTTTTTACTATACTTTAATTTAATCCAAACTGTGTACATATTTAATTTTAAAGGGCTTTTGAAAACCTTCTAGAGTTATTCAGCCAAGAATAACAAGTTAGTTAGCTAAAAAAAAAAAAGCCAGCTTTTCTGACTGATATGACACAAACAAGGTTAACCATTTGTACATTCTCTAACACGCATATTTTAGATTCACAATTAATTTAAAAGCCTCTGGTGTGTAAAAATAGTAAATATCATCATGTCCTCCTGTTTTATTTTTACCCTAACAGGGTTCCAGACTGCGACTAAAACGGTCGCGACCAAAAATATTAATTTGCGAGTGAAGTTTTTGCTGAGGTCGCCACTGGCGACTATATATATTTACATGTTATAACTTAAAAAATTGAATGTAATGACTTTTTTCCTGATTGTTTTGCGATCACATCTTTTGTTATGTTCACGTATTAAACTGAGACGATGCGCATCAAAGTTTTAGTGGAAAAAAGAGTTTCAAACCGTCCTCATCTCTGCCGCACTGCAGCATTGTCGCACACAGTCTGCTAAACGCAGCTCAGTTGAGCAGCGCGAGAGAGATCGAAATGACGGAGACGTGCGAAGTGAAAGTGCAGAAAAGCAGCCTCTATTTCGTGCACAACTTGAACAAACTACAACAGGTAAAGCTGTCAGCTGTGTGGATATTGGCAATATCGTTAACAATTCTCGTTTATAATCATTACTAATATGGCTTCTTCTTAACAAGATCTTGGTCTATGCTGTGTTCTGTTAATGCGTGAACTTCATATTATTTGAAGCGCACTCCTTCTTTTGCCACAAAGAACCTTTCGTGAAACGTAAAGGTTCTTCAGATGTTAAAGGTTCTTTATGAAACCATTTAGACAAAAAAGGTTATTCTATGGCATCGTGAAGCACCTTTATTTTTAAGAGTGTATGACAAAATTTACAGGATGTATTGAGGAGGAGCTCAGACTACACTCAGTGTCCATGTGATGCTTATGGTCCATGATATTGGTACAGATTCTGTGTAATGAACAATTCTTCGTGACTGTATATTTCAAGTTGGAAAAGACATTTAGTTCCCACTTTATGTGAACCTTAGTTCCCAGGTCATCTACAAGATGGATTAAACTGCTGATAAAGTCAAGAAAAGATGAGACATAAACACATGACAGTATGATTGAAATGTTAAAATGTAAAAAAAAAATATATATAATAATAATAAAATAAAACTCGTTTATTCTGTGGCACCTAAAAAAATAATTTGGCGCCTACGTTTTTTTCTTATAGGAGCCAATGGCTTCTTAATCGATTTTTTTGTCTGGAGCCCTGCGTAATAAATATAGGAGCATTAAATAGTTAATAATGAAACTATGCTAACGATTAACTACTCTAAGAACAGCGATGTTCATTTCAATCCGACATTCAAATTAAAATATTGAATAATATTCATAACAGAAGCGGTGTTTCCCACAGACTTGCACTCTATTTGTGGCGGCATATACAGTATCTCACAGAAGTGAGTACACCCCTCACATTTTTGTAAATATTTTATTATATCTTTTCATGTGACAACACTGAAGAAATGACATTTTGCTACAATGTAAAGTAGTGAGTGTACAGCTTGTATAACAGTGTAAATTTGCTGTCCTCTCAAAATAACTCAACACACAGCCATTAATGTCTAAACCGCTGGCCACAAAAGTGAGTACACCCCTAAGTGAAAATGTCCAAATTGGGCCCAATTAGCCAGTTTCTCTCCTCAATTTTTCTTTTTTTTATTATATTAGTGTTATATTACATCCCTACTGTGTTATTCCTATGTATGTCTGCACTATCATGTATGTCTGCACTATGTTTGTACTTTCTTCTACACTGGAAGCTCCTGTCGTCAAGTCAAATTCCTTGTGTGTGTAAACATACTTGGTAATAAAGCTCTTCTGATTCTGATTCTGAAAATGTGAGGGGTGTACTCCCTTCTGTGAGTTACTGTATATGCACATTCATTCTCTGGCAGCAGGAGGCGCTTGTTGAGCGGGAGAGATGGAGGTTTCCCCAGTAACGGCTGTAATCAAATAACCGCTGCGCTCACAAACGCTGCTTTATCAGGCATTACAGGCAAGATGAAATGAAAATGACATTCATCATTTTCTGAAGACAGTCGGTTTCCTTCAGAAATACAGTGATATAAAAACACCCGCAGCGGGTTTCGACTTTGATACGTGCAGTGCTCATGTTTGTTCAATGAAGTCAAAGCCTTTTGGAAAATCTATTTGTGACGGTCAGTGTTGATATTGTGGCAAATAAACAATGTATGTGAAACCATCAATGTATCAATGTATATTGAAATAAATATATAGAAAAATACAGAAATGTGTTTAAAAATCATATCACCGTTAAAAAAATTATATA